CTCTTCCTGACGACTCCTTATAAACAGGGCATTTTCTCGTGTCGGACACAAAAATGGAAACCCTTCCACCCTCCAGGCAGCTGACCGGGGCGTCTGCCGGCCTGCATGTCACTGTCACCCTGACGGAAGGTGCCAGCCCCCGTGCAGCCGCTCGCGGCAAAGGCCCGGGGTGACGGAGCCCCCAACAGCACCCCCGTGGAGAGGGGCGAGGATGGAGGTGGACTCTGTCCCTCCGCCACTTCCAGGACTGACCCCGAGGCTCCTGCGAGGCCTTGGGCTGCGGCAGGAGTGGGTGGGAAATCTTCCTCCCTCGCCCGACTCTCCCCAGAATCACGTCCGCAGAGACGGAGGAAAGGCTACAAAGCAGCTGCCCCTCCCCACGTGGCGAAGGCAGAAAGTGTCCCTGGAGCCTTCAGGCGATGGCCTTGCATGGCTGGTGAGGGCTCGGGAAGGAGAGAGTGGGCCGAAGAGGCGTCCAGTGGGCCCGAGGTGCAGAGGTGGCCGCCCAGGGCTCCTCGGGCCCCAGCCACGGGCTGCCTCGGCCACGCTTTAACTTCATCCGAGCAAAGGCTGAAATTAGGCGGGCCTTGCACTTGGAGCCAAGCAGACAAATTAAAGGAAAGTGGATTCTATCTCCTCTGTGCTCCAGTGATCGATGGCTTCAAACAGCTGAGCGCCCTTCCTTTCAGAGAAGGGATACAGAGATGGACGGCCCAGTCTGTGACGAGAGCCAAAGGGAATGAGCATTTCAGTCTGTTTTGTTTACTTGCATTTTAGCTCAAACTCCTGGTGCCCCGGCCCAGTCAACACTGGGTAAAGGGGACCTGCGTCTTCACTGCTAGCCTGCCCTGGACCGTGGCTGGAGAGATAGGGCAGGTACCCATCTGCGAGGCTGCCACGTGGGCCAGAAGCCCACGGCCCACGAATCTTCCTCCAATTCCTCTGCCCAGCCCTTCCCACCCAAGGGGCTCAGCTGCTCTGACGTTCCTGGAGAAGCATCCTGCCCTCCTGGACAGCCTGGGGTGGACGGGTGGCAGGAGACAGGTGGGCCTGGGTACCTCTCACTGCAGCCCAAGCCAGTGGGCTCGGCCCTGTGCCTCTGACCTCTGCCCAGCCAGGCCAAGGACATTCACTTCAAGGCTCCTGGGGTGGCCCCATGTCCCAGGTTCATCAGAGTCAGAAAAAGAATAAAGCCAGGGAAAGCAGAAAGAATAAGTGAAATAAATGGAAAAATCAAGACCTTTTTCTTTGGTCCTGCTTACCCGCTAAGGACACCGAGAACCAAGTTAAGTACAAAAAATGACCCTATGATGATTAGTGTAACAAAATAGATCCAGGGCCAGTCCCTTCCCACGGCATCATTGACCTGGAAGAATGGAATCACAGTTAGTACAGCTCCCAGAGCAGCCGAGCACGGCCCTGCCCACCCCGGGCCCGATGCCGACCAGGCAGCACCGGGACCGGGGCCTCTAGGTCATCAGAGGCCAAATGGCCTGCCCAGACAACGGCCAGCATGCCTGGCTGAATGGAGACGTTTTCTCTTTCTCCTGGGCCTGGTGACGGATACAGCGGGACCTGGGGCCTTGCTCAGCTGCGTCGTAAAGAGGACACAGAAACGGTCAGCTTACCCGCTCAACACACCAAGAACCAGATTTAGAACGAAAAAGGATCCAAAGATGACCAGACTGACAAAATACACCCAGGGTAACTCGTAGCCCATAGCGTCCTGCATCTGGAAAGACGAAGGATAGTTAGGAAAGAGAGAAGCAGGAGTGAGTCAAAGCAAGTAGGCAGGGAGGCAGGGAGGGTGTGAGTAGAGGCTGGCGTGGGAGATCACTGTCACTGGCCTCGGCAGGCTCTGCCTCAGGGGGAATCTCGCCTGGCCCTCTCTGACCCTTTGTTTTCTGGAACAGAATTTTCCTCCGATGTTATCTATTCAGTTGTCTAAGAAGCTGGGTCACCTCTAAAGTGGTTCTTCCTACGAGATGGTTTTCGCTCAGTTGGGTTTGTGTGGCCACTGCGCCCGCCACCCTGGCCTCAGCTCTCAGGGACTAGCTGGGGGCTGGAACCTTCGGGCACACGTGGGGAGGTGCCTTTCTCAGGGGGTGACCCCTGCGCCTGGAGTTTAGGGTGGACCATGCTGCCGTACTGGCACCACAGGACTCGGGCCGGGGAGGACGGTTGTTCAGGCTGGACTCAGGGGACAGCTCCTGTGCCTGTAACTCACGGGACCGTGGATCCCCGTGGGAGGTAGACGCCCCCGAGTTTCCAAATTCCTAAGTGCACAGGCTCCCCGAATGACCTACACCCGTGGTTCTCAAGGTGTTGTCCCTGGCCTCACCGGGGGACCTGGGAACGAGTTTGGAACTGCACACTCTGGGCCCTCCATCCACACGGGGGGCGCCTGGCGACCATGTTCTCACCAGCCCTGCAGTGAGTCTGATGCGAGCCGAGGTTTGAGAACCGCTGGTCCACGGCCCCCAGCCTCCGAGGCAACGGCATGACAGAGGCTGTGATTCCCTGCACCCAGGTCCATGGGGCGGCTCGTGTGCCCTAAGAAGCACTGATTGGTTTTTGGTGCTGCCCCCGCACGTCCTTTCCAAATCTGCTCTCGTTTTCCCGGGGTTACGGTGTCTCATTGGAGGCAGCTCCCCAGCGTGACCACGGGGCAGAGAGCACAGCTGTGTCCCGCCCTCGGGGTCGCTGGTTTGAGCCACGTAAGGAAAAGTTTCCCAACACGTGACTTTCCCAGGTCACAATTCAATCCAATGTAATGCGAGTCTGTGGACATCCTCGCTGCCACGCGGCCGCTCTGTTTTCCACGCAGCACGTACACTTTCTAAGTGTATAATCTACTCACAGCTATGCATCGTTTGTCCTCCGTGCTGGGGTGCAAGTGGCATGAGGACGGGCGTTGGGTGTAGCCTGTGCCCCCAAGTGCCCAGAACAGGGCCTCGTATAAGGCAGGTGCTCAGTGAGGCCAGCCGGGTGGACGGACGGGCCCCCTCTGTGCCGGCCCTGCTACCCATGGGAGGCCCTTGCTGTAGGGGGACAGGTCAGTGGACGTTGGGTGGCGAATGCGGCTGCAGGGGTGCGTGTGCACAGCCACGGGCCTCCAGGAGAGGCTGCAGAGGCCGGTGAGGCCGGATCAGGCGGCCCAGGGTGCCACTTTGGGGGGGAGGGCAGGGGCAGTAAGGCCGCCTGGAGGCCGCGTGGTCCTGCCCCAGGAAGGGGTTCCAGGAACTGGCAAGTGTTGGGACAGTGCCGGCAGCGTGAAGCACCCAGCACGATGGCAAGAGTAGGGCAGGGCACCGAGATCCGTGGAGTCAGAGGCTGTCCTGTCGTGGGAGCTGGGAGCCTCCTTCCTGATCCAAGGCTGCCTAGGAACCCACACAGGGCCATCCAGAGATGGGCTCGCTCCCAGTGCCAAGGGCCACCCTTGCGAAACTGCCCCCAGAGCCAGGCAGACGGGGATGGGGAGGGAGGGCTGGTGCCTCAGCAGCCTCCTTGGGGGAGATCTCCCCTGGCTGGTTCCTCGTGCCCTACACTTTTTTTTTTTTTTTTTTTTTTTTTTTTTTTTTTTTGTTTTCGGGCCCCCT